GCACGTGCGTACACACACACGCACACACACAAACACACACATACACACACGCACGCACACACACACACACCTCGCCCGACGCGCGCCTGCCCGCCGCGCTCGCGCTCGCACACCTGCACGCCACCGCCGCGCTGCACGTGCGTACACACACACGCACACACACACACACACACATACACACACGCACGCACGCACACACACACACACCTCGCCCGACGCGCGCCTGCCCGCCGCGCTCGCGCTCGCTCACCTGCACGCCACCGCCGCGCTGCACGTGCGTACACACACACGCACACACACACACACACACACACACATACACACACGCACGCACGCACACACACACACACCTCGCCCGACGCGCGCCTGCCCGCCGCGCTCGCGCTCGCACACCTGCACGCCACCGCCGCGCTGCACGTGCGTACACACACACACGCACATGCACACACACGTACACACACGCACACATACACGCACACATACACACACGCACACATACACACACGCACACATACACATACACACGCACACACCTCTTCCGATGCACGCTACTCTACACTACAACACGTTCACTTCAACACACCTTTAAGCCTCTTAAATTCCGTTTATCGCACATGTAACAAGCTTAGCAAACAAAGTTCCCATTCAATATTTATATATTTAGATAGTAGCTAGCCGGGAAGACGTTGTTCTGAACTTTCCAACGACCCTTAACTTTTCTTATAAAAAAAAAATCTTAAATTCGGAATAAAAATATTGAGGGTCACTTATCGAAATATAAACTATCCCATCTCTAAAGTTGGAGCAAAGCAATACACATTTACAAAGAACAATGGCAGACTTTCATACATAAAATTAGTTGAGAAGAAATGGTAGCGTCTATATACCAAAAATATCTTAAAATGTTAAGCCTCAGTCCCTTAATAACTCTGTCAAAGAATTTTGTACTGAGAAGGCGTCAAAAAAAAGATATTTACATTTGAACTTTTTAGGTTATGTCCTATGTCACTTGGAAAAAGTCATGCTTCCTGTGGTTGTTTGATGTTAGCTTAATACATAATTGAGAGTTTTTAGATTATTATATCTCTATTATATATTTGCATACTATAAATGTATATTTCTGGCAAGGCTCCAGGTCTTTTGTATCATAGTGACATTCTCAGAAGGGCAAGAACCCAGAGCCGTAAAGCCAGTAAAAAAAACAGTAACATTTTATTTTAGCTAGTGTTGGCATAACATTAAATGGAATTGTTACATAGTACTATGATTGAGATAATGTATTATTGTAGGAAATTCTTTGTAAGAAGCTTATTCTCAGCCATATCACTTTTATTTTTATTATTACTGATAGTACAGTTATTACTAATAATAACTTAATATAAAAATATTTTGTGTGTTGTGTTGGTAGTCTTACAAAGTGTATACGAAAATAGTATAAATATACTAAATGGCAACATTTGAATAGAGTAAAATGATTTAAGTCATTTGATATTCCCAAAAATGTTTGTTTTTTTCTGTGGCTTTAATTAAAATATATTTTTATTTGAAAAATCATAGAAAAATAATAAAACTAATTTTATATATAACTTATTTCTAGACGCTATGATTTTTGTCAACTATTTTTCTGCCATTGCTCTTTACGGTTTTCAAACAAGAATCTTGATATATTAAGATTTTGAATATTGTTACTTTATCTTATTTGTTTGTCCTACAGTCGGTGATGGAGAGTCCTATAGCTGCACTGTTCCTGTCTGGTGAGTCCGGGCTGCTGGACAACTGGGACGCCTATCTGATCGCCGTGCTGGCCGCCTCACTCGGCCTCGTTGTTCTGCTGCGTCGCCCACAGCGCCCCAACTGAGGGTGACTTGACTAACTCTATCAGTTCGCCCCAAGTTAGAGCGAAGTCGCCAAGTTACAGTTTAATACGCGTGGTGTATCAGTTATCTTCGTGTCAATATATGCAATGATTTATAAAAAAGAAGGGTAAATCATCGACAACATATTACGTATTTATTGCGCGGATTGAAAAAGAAACTACATGATGGAATCATATGGAAAAAAATCACGACGAAATTCGGTCAGAATGTAGATTATAGAACTACTGTAAATATATGTTAAACTGTTTAAGTAAACAATTTTTCATATATCAATACTGATAATATTATGTGCAATATATGATATATAAAACAAACTTATGGCTATTTTCGCATAGCTAATCTCTACAAAATCTAGATGTCTAGAACGAAGACTGATAAAGGTTTCTACCAATTTATTACTATATAAATATAAACTTCTATGAGAGCATCCACGCCTTTTTCTTTGGCGGCGCCATTTTCGATTGAAAAGTTCGTTGGAAAGTTAATTTGTTAGGAAAATGTAAGGATTAATGTTTCTGTCTGTAATATCAGTTATATTTTATATTATTTAAGTAAGAAATGAATAAACCAAACTACGGATATTCCTAAAAGTAGTAAAATTTAAAAAAAAGCAGTTTAAAATGTGCAAAAATTTAAGGAGCAAACCACTGAGACATTATTTTGTTTATTGTAATAAAATACTTTAGAAACTGATAAACTTTTATTTAAAACTATCTTCTCAATTAAATAACATTATGTAACTAAAACTTCACATCAGTCCCAAGTCATCAGTCCCAACTAGCAACCTCTGGTGTGCGGATGGTGTTCGAACTTATCAACTAAATAGTAGGATCTTAATATTGTTCTAAAAGTGTTTGACTGTGATAACCTATTTGGATTCCGAAAATATTTATTGCAAAATTAACTTTAATCATTAAGAATAACATTGTAGAACTGTTACATACACGTTCTTGCTGCATCAATCAATTATATCATATCATAAAAATATTTTGATTGCAAGAGTAAGATAAAATTAAATGAAAAACAAATGCCATTGTTGTTTTTACACCGATCTCATGTCAGGTTCTTTGTTCCTTAATTAGATATATCAGCATTTATCATTTATGTGTTCTAGGATTCTACTAGGGTTTGTCATAAAAACCAAACCTGTTATAATAATACAGTATATTATAGATTTAGGTATAATATACTGAATTATTTTAACAATTTGAAACTCCGCTTTCATTTTTCATTGTAATGGCGGCTGTACACGCTCGTCGAGACACCACGAGACAGACCGAGACAGTGTGAGTACGAGTGTGTACACGGTGCCCTCGTGGCGTGGCGTCTCGCGGGCCTCGTCCACTCTCGGCAGCGTGTCAGTTTTTTGCGCTCGAGTCAACGGGTCTCGTGAGTCTCGCGATGAAAACGAGAGCGCGCCTGTACACACTCGTTCGTTTTCTGATAATTATATAAATTATTAAAAAAATGGTTCAATGTTGTTAAATACAATATAGGAAGTTAAATGGTTCTATTACAGTGAATAGAAACCATCCACCATAGCTTAATAATTTTCTTTTTATTGGAAATATATAAAAAATTATAATAAAAAATAGCAAAGCCAAAAACACAGCAACAGTTCCTTCTACGTCCATCGCAGTAGGCATCCGGAGTTCAAGTGATACAACGAGTGTGTACATGGTGTGCTCTCGAGTCGGACCTCTACGCAACGAGAGGCACGCGAGACGACAAAACGAACTTGTACAGCCGCCATAAAGATTTCAGAAAAAGAAACAATTCTTTATTTGCTTTGATTTCCAAATATTTACTTGTTGCTAACAATAAATTCAGAATATTTGATTTCTTACGATAGTGGTCGATTTTGGGGTATTTAATTTATCGAAATATAATTTTTAATCGAAGCGTCAGTAGCCTAATGGCAGGGCGCGGACTGCGAACTCGAAAGGTCGTGGGTTCGAATCCGCTATTCGACTACTGACGTGAACCACCTCTAACACAAGCATTTTAAGCTTACCAGAAGTGGTTAAAGGAAATATTAGTAATGTTTAATAGCATTACTAGTATTTTTAAAAAAAAATGTATTACATAGTGCAGATTCTGTGTGTATATTATATATTTTCCCTTGGTTTTACCTTAATAGAATATATTTTAATAGAAAAGGGATACTATTTTACTGATTCCCGATTTACAACGAAATTATTTGTCCGTTACCTTAAATACAGACCTTACTTCGATTGAAAACTATCGATAACTTTGTTGTTTTGATTTGTTATTTGAAAATAATTTATTTTTCTAATTTATGAATTAAGTTTGCACCATACTAACGTTATTCAAAATATTTCTATTTGTGTGATTTAGATCAATAAACAAAAACTGTAAATAATATAAAGTAAATATAGATTTATAAGTGTATGTTGTTTCATTAAAAAAAAAAAAACAATAATAACCTTCAGAAAACTAAACATCGAGAGCATGGGACGACGAACGCAGAGTACCAAGAGCAGGATAATTGTTGAACTTATGTAATTAATTAAAATATTAATAAACTTATATTAAACACTATATACTGTATTCTATCTCATTGTCTCGGAGGCTTAAATCCTATGGAAGTATATGTTTGTCTTTTTTTTTACCATCGTTTTGTAAATCGCAACGATTCCACAGAAGTTTTCACTTAAAAAATTTCAATAGATTTAATAGAATGGGTACCACGATAAAGTTTCAAAAAAAATTCTTTCCGAATAACACAAAACCTAGCCGTTTTTGTGTATGATATTTTACTTTTATATTTTGGTATGATACTCGTAGGGTATATATATATATATATATATATATATATATATATATATTTATGTATATGTATCATGCCATCAGTGGATAGACTGAGCAGATTGGTTGTAGAACAGATTGGCGTACAGACAAAACTTCCCCAGCGGGAAGCACTCTCAAGTCTCCTTATTAATACATTGTCAAGTATATGCATTCTCTTTAATTGTGGCATTGTCAACTACCATGCTAAGTGATTTGGATGGTTGCCAAGTCTTGTTTTGTAGTTGCAGCTGTCACCTAATTTCTTCCTTAATTAAGTCCATTTTAATGTGTTCATGGATTTCAGATATTCTTATGAACCATGGTGCGTTTGAAAGTTCTTTAAGTATGTAGTTTTAGGTTCTTTGAATGATTTCGATGTTGGGGTCACATGCTGATCCCTAAAGTCGTATGCCAAATGTCCATATCGGTTTTATAATGGTGTTATATAGCAGGAGCTTATTGTCTAAGGAAAGTCTGGAATTCCTTGCGAGCATCCAATACAGTCCTCTGCATCTATGGTAGAGCTCATCCCTTTTGGTTTGGATGTGCTTCTTCCAAGTAAGCCTTCTACCCAAGTACATGCCCAAGTACCTAACGTTGTCACTGCGGAAGCGAATTGTTCCGCAATGTGACATATATATATATTATATTTTACCACGTGGTAGGACTCCTTTTTTATGGTAAAAAAGGTTCTCGAGTGGCGGCCTCGTACCGGCGGACGAAGTGTAGGGCGTCCCCCCACTAGATGGAGTGACGACCTGGTAAGATGTGCAGGAAGTCGATGGATGCAGGTGGCTCAGGACCGTGCCTTGTGGCATTCCTTGGGGGAGGCCTACGTTCAGCAGTGGACTTGTGAAGGGCTGTAATGATGATGATGAGGAATCCTTTAATGCTTAGGAGCCCATCTGGGTAGGTACCCTCTTACTTATTTCTGACACGCCAAATAGCAGTACATGCCTGTGTCCCGGTGTGAAGCGTATAGATATAGAGAGCCAGCATAATTACACACTGTGAGACACATTCCATCTTTGTCCTCAAAGGTTTATATTCATCCATTTTGTAATTTTTAACATGTTTCAAATAAAATATGGACGATTGAGTCCGTTTAAACAAAAGTCAAGCTTCAATTCCTGTATCAATACTAAATTCAATTACGCACACATATGTGAACGTAAAAGCGTAACTAATAAATAATCACATCTAACATCTAGTAGATAGCACAAGTTTCATTGGGCATTCGAGTAAATAAAACAATTTTTTGTAAATGTAAGAAATATATTCAACTTTGTTCAGTCTAAACTAAACCCAGTAAAGTCGCATTTTTTCTTCTTAATTATAACAGTTGAAATTTCATAAAGAATGAAAATAATTATAACGATATCCACTACCTAGCATCAGGAGGTAGCGTGTATCCATTTGTCACTTACACTTAAAGGTAATTAGCATAACAAAACACGTGACAGCTTCTCATTGACTGTAATTAATACTTGTAACAAAAAGTAAAAAAACTACTTCAAGAATTTATTTATTTGCTAGCCTTAGAGATGAAATATTTTCTCCAAATTTATACGGGACCACCCATGAAGTATAATCTATTTAATAAAAAAGAATTATCAAAATCGGTTTACAATCTGCGAAGATATCGCGTAACAGACATACAAAAAAAAAACGTACACTCGAATTGACAATCTCCTCTTTTTCGAAGTCAGAAGAACCTAGAAGTAAAAAGAATAATCTATTTCTGTTTAACATGGTTTTGGCATAACCACAAGTATGATTAGAAATCCATAAAACAGGTTAAAAAAATTCTTTCTTCCAGACATAGCTGTTTCGTATAGGGAAAGCGTAAAGGCTCTGAGTTAATTCAGGTAGGAAATCTTCTGTGTGCCTTTTTAATTAAAATTTGTTGCAGTTGTCCATTATCTGTAGCCACTTACTGTCAGATCGACTTAGAAAATTTGTTACTTATTTATTTAAATAAAAAAGTGTCCATCTGTTACATCCATATAACTTTGATTTTTTTTAAATACTTTGGTTGATTTGTATGATATTAAAATATAAACAAACATTTTTGAAAATGTTGTCTCTGTCTGTCTGTGGTTAACCTTCGAAATGTCTGAACTGATTGTCACGAAACTTCAAGAACAGAAAGCAAGGTAGGAGTGATCTGTTCTATATTTTATCTGAAAAACTTGCAAGACTTAAAGAAAACCGGCCAAGTGCGAGTCGGACTCGCGCACCGAGGGTTCCGGTTCCGTAGGTATATAAGCTTAAAATTATTAAAAACATTTTTATTATATGATGTAACTAAAAATTATGCTTTTCGCAATTTTTCCTTTATCTGTGCTATAATATGTTGCTTCGTACCAAATTTTAAGATTATGAGTTCTCAGGAAGTACCCTGTAGGTTTTGATTCCCTTGCGAATGTCGAAAATTTGCGGCATAAACGGCTGTATCTTTTGATTGCGTTGGCTTAGAAGTTTGATTTTTTCAAAGCTCCAATGGACAGTAGACTTGAGTATTTGATATGAATTTCAGCTTGATACCTCCACGCGTTCCTGAGAAAAAGGGTCTTGACAGACAGACAGACGGACAACAAAGTGATCTTTAATGCATAGGAGAATTCATACGATGCTTTGGGTATATTTTGTGACCTATCCAAGGCCCTGGTTCATCCAAGTTATCCAAGTTCCTGATTAACTTCAACACTACGGTGTAAGAAGTGATACTCTTAATAAAAAAAAATCATATTTAAGTAAGAGAACGCAAAAAGTTGTCATTAACAGTATGAGCTCTTCCGAGTCGATGGTAATAATAATTTAAAATTAAAAATTTTGTACAGCCGACTTCAATATAAGTTATTTAAGAATAACTTAAAAACTATTGGTCTGACCTTGATCAAATTCATATGGGACCACACGAGAAGTACCAGCTTTCAAATAAAAAAAGAATCATCGAAATCGGTTCACCCAGAAAAAAGTTCTGAGGTAACACACATAAAAAAAAAAAAAAAAAACATACAGTCGAATTGAGTACCGGCTCCTTTTTGGAAGTCGGCAGAAAAATGGGCGTGTTTTGTATAAAGGTTTTGTTTTTTCCTTTTCAGGTACAGAACCCTAAAAATGGATAAAATAAAAATATTCTTGAATAACATTGCATCTAAATAATGCCACATTAATATACACTGCCCAGGCGAAGCGAAGAATGAAAATCTATGATCTTTTGTTTGTCCCGTACACGTTTCGTGTATCATTCATCCGATTACAATGACACTAGTGAGTTAGATAGTTTCCTTTTGAAATTTAGAAATTGATCTACATGATTTAGCAATATAATACTGCCAGCTGTCTGAGGGCATTTTTAAAACTATCTTAGAACAGAATCGGCGTCTTTTGCGACGTTTCACGAAGCAGCCTGCTTTTCCAGCAGCTCGATCTTCCTCGTGATGTCGTCCGCGGAGAAAACATAGTCCATGCTCTCTTGCTTTACGTCCGCCGATTCCTGTTTGACTTTCTGTAGAAATGAGTTAAAGGTGATCAGTATTTTGGTAAATGCAGTATGCGGACGGCGTAAGAGGTAAGAGAATACATCCTCCATTTCGTTCCGTGGGTTTCGTGAGAGGAGACTATGGGATGGAAAATCTTACAGCTTTCGACAGATGGCGTTTTAACGCCAAAGATTAGTTATTATATCCATACCGGTGACTAAGGTGCTCACGTCTGTAGTATGATCGAAAATCCATCTCAAAGCGAGACAGAAATCCAGCCGTGGACTTTTGCTGGTTGATGAAGTAAGAGGTTCTAATTTATAATATTAAGAAGATAAACGGCTAACAGAACCGTCGTTTAGTCCCGCTGGGTTTCATTGTGGTTCTTTCGAGGACAGAGGTTTTTTCTTAACCAGTGGTCAAAGTAAAAAATGACTTTCAATAAGATTGTAAAGGCGGCGAGAGAGGTGTGTTAGGATTGTGCCAAAAGGAAGTCAGTGGTCTCTGCCTACACCTCTGGGTGACAGGCGTAAACGTTTATGATTATAATGTATGTTACATTATAATCATAGAATAGAATTCTATATTATAGTCGCAAGAGAATCCACTGCCCCATATCACCTCGTGGCTGTTGTAAGAGGCGACCGAGGGATATCAAACAGGTAAGGTAGAGCCACGCTGCAGCTATATTAGTTGTAGCATGAATGGGTCGGCTCGACCGGGGTAGGACCACGCTCGAATACCAGCGTAAAATAGCAGCTCGTGAATGAAGAATACAGGAAATAATTTTTACTAGATACGAAGCATTCAATCTTAGTCCTTTGGGGTGGCAACGCCTCTGCATTTTGATTGTCAATCGAGTCGAGTGTCTATGGGCCACAGCATATCCATCTACCATATTCTATATAAAAAAATTATTCTTGATATCAACTCAAAATTATTTAAAAAAAATGCGGTGCCAATCCGCAATTGACATCCGCTTGATGGTGGGATAAACATCTTATTTGTTTTAATCACAAAAAAAAACATACAGCCGAATTGAGTCCGGCTCCTTTTTGAGGTCGGTAGAAAATATCCCACCTGATTTATGTTTATTGGCAGTGTTGTCGTTGATGAAATGTGTTAGCTTAGAAAACGCCTAGCCACTCAATAGTCAGGCTCGATAATAGATAACCAAAGTATACCTACACTTTAATTCGATAGTAGTTCGGCATTCTTATGCTTACATACAATAATTATTCGAATTTATTAAGTCCCTAGGGGAAGACAACACATTTATTTGTTTATTTGTAGTTTATTGTCGCTGAGCTGAAGTGGCTATTTATCACCAGTGTCGGGTTTTTATATTTAAAAACGCTTCGTTTTCTTTTACGAGCCATTTTGCGCTAAATGAAGTGCATGAAAACCCCATTTTTAAAACAAAATACCAGTTCAACTATTTATAAACAATTTAGTTTTCTTCATTTTAAGTCCTGAGTTGCTGAAGAAATGGTAAAATTAAAAAATTTCTACAACCAACTTCAATATAAATATAATTCATTGTTGATTTTTTTTAAAACCACTCGATTGATTTCTATAAAATTTAAATGGGACCACCTGGAAAGTATACCTTTTGAAACAAAAAACTAATTTTCCAAACTGGTTCAGGCGTCTTCGAGTAATCGATGAACATACATAAAAAAAAACAAAGATTCCGAAGAATTGTGAACCTCCTCCTTTTAGAATTCGGTTGATAAATAGTAATGTCTGTTTTTACATGCACCTCGTATACATTAAAACAGATCGTTTCGGAAAACGAAACGTTTTTTGAATATAGGAATCGGGCATTAGTGATCCGTGAGCTCTTTTCTCCACACCAACATCATAAAACCATTCCAAATAGTTGCAGACTCACCCAGAAGTGCGCGTACTCAGGTGAGACAGCTAAAAGATGCGAGATGCGTTCTTCAACGGCCTTGAGGCGGCTGTACACGTCCCGGCCCACTGGTGTCACGTTCACGAACTGCTCTGCGGCTCGTAACCGCTCCGCCACCCCCTCGGGCAACCCTCCCCTCTCCCCATCCCCGTCCCCACCACACTCCCCCATACCGCGCACAGTCTGCGGGCCCCACTCATTGTACACCTTGCGGACTGAAACGCCAGTGTAACTTTAGCAGTATGTACTTCGGCCATTGTAACCAAATACTTCTATGTATAAGTAGCGACTTCTATGTATAAATACTACTATGTATTCTATGCCGTGTAGTGGCGGTCAAGAATATCCACTACCCCATATCCTCCCGTGGGTGTCGTAAAAGGCGACAAAGAGAAACAGGCAGGAGATGGGCAGCAGCATCTTCCTGATAATAGCCAAAACTACAATAAAAAAACTGCGGTTGCCAACCCGCTCGCCAAGCGTGGCAACTATGGCAAATACCCCCCAATGATTAAAGCAACAAACAGACGGCGCCCAGTCCCCGGCGGCCCGCTATTCCTGGCTACGGTGGCGACCATGGTAACGGCGGGGCAGGGGGTGCTAAGAATCTCCGGTGGAGGTTCGGTTGCCACCTTAGACGACTCGACCTGGCAACGTACAACGCACGCACCCTGAGGACTGACGAGAAGATCGTGGAGCTGGAAGAAGAGATAGACAAGTTGCGCTGGCATATTATAGGATTATCCGAAGTCCGAAGAGAGGGGCAGGACACGGTAATCCTCGAATCCGGCAACTTGCTCTATCACCGGGAGAGCGACCATCTGTCCCAAGGAGGTGTCGGATTTATCGTCCACAAGTCTCTCGTTAACAAAGTTGTAAAGATCGGGAGTGTGTCGACGAGGGTTGCGTACCTTATACTCAGAATCACCAAACGGTATTCGCTGAAGGTCATACAGGTTTACGCACCAACCCGCGGCACACCCCGATGAGGAAGTGGAGGAAATGTATGAGGATATCTCCAGAGCCATGCATTCCTCCAAAACCCAATATACGGTGTTAATGGGAGACTTCAATGCAAAACTAGGCACAACGGTGAGCTGAAAGTAGGGAAATTTGGAATGGGGCAACGGAACCCAAGGGGCCAGCAGTTGGCCGACTTCATGGAGAAAGAGGGACTCTCTATGATGAACTCTTTCTGCCAGAAGCGGCCCCACAGGAAGTGGACCTGGTCGAGCCCCGACGGTTCGACAAAAAATGAGATTGACTTCATTATGACGACCAGACGACAACTGTTCAGTGATGTCTCCGTGATCGCGAGGGTGAAAACTGGTAGCGATCACCGAATATTTAGAGGCACACTGAACCTAAACGTTAAGTTGGAGAGGTCTCGTCTAATGAAGTCAACGCTCCGTCCCCCTCGTGCTCTGTTCCAAAGTCCCGAAACCTTTCAGCTCGAGTTACAAAACCGTTTTCAGTACCTAGAAGACTGCAATGAAGTGGACGATATGAATGACAAGCTCGTGGAAACTGTCCATGCGGTCGAAGCTAAGTTCTGCAAGACCCGCCGCAGAAGAACACAAAAACTCTCCGATCACACTCTAAATCTCATGGCTGTTAGACGGGAAATGAAGCTACATTCTTCAACAGACTTGACAGCATACAGGCATCTGAAGAGACAGATCTCTAAATGCATGCGGCGGGACTTACGCAACTTCAATACAGCTCATATTGAAGAAGCGATCGAGCGGAACCAAGGCTCCAAAGTCTTTGCCAGAGATCTGTCTGCCAGAAAGAGCCAACTGTCTAAGCTGAAGACAGAATGTGGCAGCATCATTTCCGGGACACCTGAGATTTTGAGTGAGATTGAGAGGTTCTATGGGCAGCTGTACACGTCATCGTTAGACCCACACGCAAGTGTGAGTAACGATCCAAGAGCGAGTATCGTCCGACACTATTCCGAAGATATCCCGGACGTCAGTCTGAGCGAGATTAGAATGGCTCTCCAGCACCTTAAAAACGGTAAGGCCCCAGGCCAGGATGGAATTACAGCGGAGCTTCTGAAAGCGGGTGGAAGACCGGTACTTGAAGTCCTTCAGAAGCTCTTTAATTCCGTCCTCCATGGTGGCATTACACCGGAGGCGTGGAGCAGAAGTGCGGTGGTCTTGTTCTTCAAGAAAGGTGACAACGCTCTCTTGAAGAACTACAGACCGATTTCCCTTCTGAGCCGCGTCTACGTACTGTTTTCGAGAGTCATTACGAATCGTCTCGCGCGCAGACTTGACGATTTCCAGCCTCCCGAACAAGCCGGTTTCCGAAAGGGCTTTAGCACCATAGACCACATACATACCCTTCGGCAAATTGTACAGAAGTCCGAAGAGTACAATTTGCCACTATGTCTGGCGTATGTGGACTATGAGAAAGCCTTTGATTCCGTCGAAATTTGGGCGGTGCTGCAGTCCCTTCAGCGGTGCCAAGTTGACTGTCGGTATATCGAAGTGTTGAAGTGTTTGTACAGTAGAGCTACGATGGCTATCCGAGTACAGAACCAGAGTACGAAACCTATCCAATTGCAGAGAGGTGTAAGACAGGGTGACGTCATATCCCCGAAACTCTTCACCGCTGCATTGGAAGACGTTTTCAAGCTTCTGGACTGGAAAGGATACGGTATCAACATCAATGGCGAGTACATCACTCACCTTCGATTTGCCGACGATATTGTCCTTATGGCAGAATCGCTGGAGGACCTAAGCACTATGCTCAATGACCTCAATAGTGTTTCCTAACGGATAGGTCTTAAGATGAACATGGACAAAACAAAGATCATGTTTAATGTCCATGTCACACCTATGCCGGTAGTTGATGGGAGCACTAAGCTCGAAGTTGTTGACGAGTATGTTTACCTGGGACAAATAGTCCGACTAGGTAAGTCCAACTTCGACCGAGAGGTCAATCGACGGATTCAACTCGGCTGGGCAGAGTTCGGGAAGCTACGAAACATCTTCTCGTCAGACATACCTCAAAACCTTAAAACGAAATTGTACAACCAGTGCGTGTTGCCAGTAATGACTTACGGAACTGAGACGTGGTCCTTCACTGCTGGCCGTATAAGGAAGCTCAAGGTCGCTCAGCGAGCTATGGAGAGGGCTATGCTCGGAGTTTCTCTAAACTTAGGAATGAGGATATCCGCAGTAGAACCAGAGTAACCGACATAGCCCAACGGATTAGTAAGCTGAAGTGGCAGTGGGCCGGCCATATAGCTCGAAGAACCGACAACCGATGGGGAAGAAAGGTTCTCGAGAGACGACCTGGTAAGACATGCAGGAAGTCGATGGATGCAGGTGGCTCAGGACCGTGCTTTGTGGCATTCTTTGGGGGAGGCCTATGTTCAGCAGTGGACTTGTGAAGGGCTGTAATGATGATGATAAGTAGCGGCACGAAAGTCTAGCGGTGACCGTTATTGCGCATAAGTCGCGCTGATTGGCTGGTGCTTATCGTTCGCACGCGCTGATTGACTCCCAGTCGCATTCGTGCAATTCAATTCGTGCGCGTCCCCTCCACGTTTCGTACAGCGCTAGACTTACGTGCCGCGACTTATATCTACTAGACGGGCTCTGCGGACTTATATAATACATTGCGCACTAAGTTACTGTCAATTCTCCGTAACTCCTTTAGTCAAACTGCAAGCGGCCGAAAAGAGTAGTTCTGTTTGGTAAACCGCGAACGTTGTTTAAGCAATATAACACTGATTTTGTTTAATGTGACCAAGAATACGTACGAATACATCATTATTTATGTGCACACTTTGTCGACGTGATTTGAAGTTTATTCCAAAAAAGTACTCGTGTGTAACTTAAATTCGTTTTGAATAAAAATCGTAACTGTCGTAAATTATATAGTATTACTATCTCTCTACTATAATATTCATAGCAGTATTTGAGTGCAATCAATCATTTGTGTTACGAGTGAAAATAGAAAATGAATAAGTGTTAACACTCCGCCACGCGTTCAAGTAGCGTACATGGTAGCCATGCTGCAGTAATATTACGATTGTAGCAGAAATTGGTCGGCTCGACCGGGATAGTACCACTCTCCTACAGAATAGCAGCTTATTTATGCTGTGTTTCGTATAGTGAGTGTAGAAAAGCGGAGATCTTTTTTACTGGAAATGAGGCATTCCATCTTAGTCTTCAATACTACTTACTCTTACCAGTGGCGGATTAAAGGAGGGGCTAGGGGGGGCTATAGCCCCGGGCCCCACCTTGGGAGGGGGCCCCGCGGTCTCGAATCAAAAATAAATTTTTTAAACCTATTCCAAAGAATTTTGAATAAAAGTAAAATGTTTTCCAAAGAAAATAAGTTAACCAAAATTATCTACGATTTTTAATTTGCCATCGGTTACCTATTTGTTGGCCAACGACGGGTGTAAATCTGTGATGAAATAACGAAATGGTGGTATTATTAGCGAATGGGTTGGGAAAAACGCTAACGCTGTAGCAGTTGGTCACGGTGGCGAACGGTTGGGGGAAATTTCTACCAGAGAATGTTAATGTTTATCGCGTAATAATTTGAGTTATTCATTCATGCCAAAGGTTGTGATTTTCTTTTTTACTTATATCTAATTTAAATAAATTTATATGAAAGATTATTTAATAACAATTCTAAAGAAAACAAAAGAGAAAAATTAATTCTGTTATACTATCTATTACTATTTTTTTCACTTGTTTATCGCTATAAATAACTTTGAAAATGCGGTTAAAAAGAAAACTATAAAAATATCGTATCAATGTTGTAAAGATTTGGATATTATGGATATGCGAGTGTTCAGGGGTGCTGACCTGGGAACGGATCACTATCTAGTGATTACTAGATTTAGGGGTCTGTTCGCGGGTAGGCGCTACCGGACGACAGTGACAAAACCACAGTCGGTCTGTCGCATCCGAAGCTGGAAGCTTCAGGAAGCGGATACTAGGGACAAATATCATGCGAGGGTAGCCGAAAAGCTTGACGCCATCGATGGCAGAAACGAATGTGTAGAAAGAACATGGCAGAACCTTAGGGATGGAATGGTAAGTGCAGCGGAAGAAGTGTGTGGAACAATAAAAAGAGGCAGTAGTAAAAGAAGAGATGCATGATGGAATGATGAAGTGAAAGAAGCTGTAAAGAAGAAGAAGAAAGCATGGTTAGACTACTTGGCCTCTAGTAATGATAAGGATAT